AAAATCCTACATCCAGTCTTCCATCCTGGGATGGAGTCCTCTGTCCGATTTCAAGGACAAAAGTGGACAGGCTTGCAACAATTTCGGCTTTTCTTCACATGCATTTTGGAAGATCCTTTAATCAGAAACATTTGTCGCCTCCCTCATCCTCTCAAATCCAAGTTCTTGTTTTCTGACTAATCTCCTTGTAAACTTGAAAGCATTCCATCTTTTTTTCCCAGAACTGAGATTTGGGTGGTGATGCACCCATATCCAGGCATAACAGGACATGAAAGAGCAGAGAGCAGATTCCATGGCTGTCAGAAGCACCGCTCTTCAGATCACCTTTCTGAGCAATTGTGTTCCCCAGCAAAGGCACTTCTTGCCACCATATGACGGTGAGAGCCAACAGAAATCAGAGCTTCCAAACTCACAGCCATTTATAGCCAAAATGCTCTTCTGTCTCTCTTTGTCAAAATACTGAAGGATCTTTTTGCAAAGGCGTTTTGTGAGGCAGGAGTATGACAAGACATGAGGGAGTAGGACATAATTCCTCCTAAGACAGAACATGTACATGCCAGAGTGTTAAGGGTCTTCACCCTGCTCACACCACCCTGTCCCAGCTCACTGCTGCTCCTGCGCTGAGAGCACCCAAGAGCAATACAAAATACCACAACCAGGATGTATTGTGCTCAGGGCAAAAACAAAACCAGAAGTCTCCAATGTGGTCTGATGAGGCTGTCATGGGTTAAACTTTAAGGCAAGTCAAAAATGTCAGTATGTCAGGCTCATGACAGGATGAAGTTTGAGTGATGGGATCTGCTGATGTTACTGTGAAAAACAAAATACACTTATTTTGGCTGGTGCTTATTATTGTGCTATTTTTGTTAGTGGATGCTGACTTATTTAATGGCTTTTATAATTCATACTTCTAACTGAATGTGTATCTCTGTCAGCTAGAAATCAAATGTCTTTCCAGTGTTCCAGGCTGCTTGTTTGTTTTGGAAACTCAATTTCTGACTAGCAGTGAGTCACAGTGATAAAGGGAATAACAAATGACAGTGATGTAAAAAACCCTACTCAAGAAGAGCTCAATAGTCAGCCAGGGTTGATAAGAAAATATGACAAAATCACAGGTAGCAAACAAATCCCCATGAAAAAGCTATGGCAGCTTTGAAAGACGAGTTGGGAAGCCATCGCAAAGCAATCTTGAATTCATTGGCCAAGTTATTAACCAAAAGTGAGCAATGACCTGAAAACACAGGCAGGGAAGCTCCCTGAAATTCCATAGAGATGGTAAATGTTGCAAAGGGAAGAGCAAATATAGACTTCTATTCAAAATCAACAGACATCCTCTCCAACCTCTTCAAACCCTTTGGTTTGCCCCCTACCCCTCCAGGAGGTGAACCTCTTTCTTCTCTTTTTTTCCCTTCACAGGTTTGGGGGGCACAAACTCTGCCTTCTGGTCACAGTCCTCATCAGTGTGGTCTCAGGGGTTCTGGTGGCCTTTGCACTGAGCTACACCTGGACAGTGACCTTCAGCCTGATCCAGCAGGGGAGGCTGGCTCACAGGCTCTGTCCTCAGTTACCCAGTTTGCACCTTCTGGGCAGGCACTCCTGATTAGCAGCAGGCCTGACCCCCACTGACACCATCTGATTTCCAAAGCACTGTGTGTAACAAGAGCAGACTTCCTGAACCAGAAGCATTTTTGCTTCCCTCCCTCATGGACCATCCTGAAAGGTTTTTTTCTATTCACCTCCTGATAACTTTCATGTTTCGGGTGTCCCAGAGCATCTGGCAACAGCAACTCATGCAGCATAAGTGGGAGATTCATGAAGGAGCACTTTCTTTTGCATCTTATAAAACTAAAAATCTCTTTGGGCTGCTCACTCACAGCTCATTTCTGTAGCAAGCAGGAGTGCAGTCATGAGCCCAACTCACTTCCTCCAAGCTACACCCGACTGTGGACAAAACTAGCATAGAGGCAGTATCTGATTTACTGTCACAACTCCCTCTGCCTCCCAATTCCCTCCCAGTCTTGGTGCTGTTGGTCTGCAGTTCAGCTCCTGCCACTCAGCAGCAAGCACTGCCCCTGCAGAGCCCACTGTGAGTGCCCGAGGCATCCACAGGGCCCTTTTCCCTCCTGGCTTTGCTCCTCTTCTTCCAGAGAAATAAGTACAAAAAATAAGCACCTCTAAACCCAGGCTGGCTTTTAAGATTTGGCATTCCAGAATTTGACTAGATATTAGGCAAGCTGGAGAATGTAAAAAAAAGACAATGAGGAGTTAGAGGCAGTGAATCCTCAGGACATGTTGGGCCATGTACAACTGCATCAACATTTGGGATCACTGACAGGAAAGGGGCAGAAAGCCCCATCACAGACACCCCCTGGGACCAGCACAAACAATAACAGGACACTCTGCCCTGCCTATTAAAGCACATTAAAGTTTGTGTTTATGCATGAATGTTTTCCTAATGCCCTCAGCTTTATATGGCCAAACTTCCAAACATCTGTCAGAAATAAGTACTGAGGCAGAGGGGAAAATAAGCCAAAAAAAGAGCAAAGGATGTGGCTTTTAAAGTAGTTTTCCCTCCATACTATGGTGGAAAATCGCTGCTGTGCCTTTGAAGGTTGAAGAGTCCTCTCCACAGCTCTTGGGAAGCTGTGATTCCCATCATATTCATCAACTTATGTTTATTCTCTGAATTTGACTTTGCCTCCTGACCAGTTCTAGTTGTGGAAGAAGCCCAAATTTCTTAATATTTTAAAATATTAAGGATGAAGGATGACACAGTGCTGTAGACTAGGGATGGGATAGGAACACAGAAGTGCCCAAACAACAGCCATGCTTGCATCCTGGCATTTGGATTCAGGTGCTGACAGCAACAGCAGAGGACAAGAACAGTGCTTAGAAAGGTGCAGCCCTTGGTCACAACATTTGACCCTCACATGATGCCATGGAGAACACCAAACATTTGTAAGAGTAAAGTTGCTTGGTCAAAACTCAGTTGCTGAAGGCTGGTGGGTATCCCAAAACACTGAGCTTTTTTGTTCTCTTCAGGCACACTTGATATGAAGTCCAGGTTTAAATAATTAGGTGAGGGGCTGGGTCTTCTTTAGGGGGTCAGTCCCACTTTCATTGATCTGGCTCTGTTTACTTGCTCCCAGGCTCTTTGCCAGGGTCAGATGGTGCTTGGTCCTGAAGTGCTCCTTCCCAGGCTCCGGGGACAGCCCTGGCACTGGTTATGCTCCAGCAGCCCCAGGAGCAGACAGGTTTCAGCTGCTCCTCAGGGGAAGGGAAGCTGTCAAACTGTGTTACCTGAGGCAGGGCGTGAGCTCCACCCCCAGCCTGGGGGTGACACACTCCTTCACCCCCCAGGACACAGCTGCTGCTGCTCCCCATTTTGAGAGGCTGCCATGTGCAGCTGGACCAGCTTTTACAGCCCTCTACTTTCCCAGCTCCAGGAAGAAAGCCATCAATGGGCAAAGGTCACCAGCAAACGAATTAATGAAGGACATTTGCCCCTGTGTTTATTAAGCTGCCACCAGAAGCAGATGTCACTATCACATGTAGATGACAGTAAAGCAAAGGCTTGCCAGAGCCTGCCACCTCTGCAGCTCCTGCTGTGGCAGTAGCAGTGCTTGTGGGAATATATACCAGTGTGATGGATAAAGGTGTTGGGACTCCGCTTTTGTAGTTATTTATTTATTCATCTCAGGCTTTGCTTGACTTGTTGCTACCACCCCCATTTTCTACCTGCAGAGCTTTCAACAGGTTTTATATCGAAGAACTGTCAGCCAGAAGTCCCGACAGATTTCTTTTAGTGCAGAGAAGAGACATGTCTGCAACCAGAGCAGGACGTCAGCTTTACCAGACACATAATTACGCCCCCACAGTTCCTCTTGCCCTCTCAGGACAAGCCTATTCCCCTGATCATGAAGCAAATACTAGTTTTGCAACTGCCTGGCCAAAGTCATGTCATTCCTGATCTGTCCCTACTCTTCTCAGGCAACCTTGCCATGGCCCTGCCTCACTGGACAACACACTTCCCTGCCTTGGAGGCCCTCACAGCAGCACTGAACATTAACTGAGGTTCAGGTCAGCTGAAAGCAGGTGCAAGGTCACTGGGATGCAATCCTGGGGGAATTTCACCCTGCCTGCTAGAGTCCAGCAGTGTCTTGCTCAACTGGGAGTTCTCTCCCTGCAGCTGATTATCAGTGGGCAGAGGTATCTTGTACCCTGCTCACATATCCTTATGGAAAACCAGTGCTTTCCAGCAGATAGGGACCAGCAACACAAATAGGGACGGGGAACCACAGGACCATTGTCCCTGCAACCACAGGTCTGTTACAGTCGCTCAACAGGATGGACTAGGACATTTCTTAAGGTGCTGGATATTTCCTGGAAGACCCAGTGCTGTTCCTGATTCTCCATGATGCACAGGACCCTTGATCAGGGTCCTGCAAGTTCCGAAGCCTGATCTCAGCTCACTCCAAAGGAATGCCCCTGCAGGGCACATGTATTTATAAGGCTATTACTTTATAAAGGATTAAGAGTGTTTCTCCTATGCACAGTTTTTCATGCTCTGGAGTTGCCACATGCCCATCCTTGTAAGTATACATCCTTCTGAGTAGCCAGTAAAATAGGAGAAAGTAAAATAATTTTTTTAAAAACTCTGTGCAAATTGTCACACAGTTGAACCAGGTTTGTAGTAACCTTGATTCTACAATGGAGATACATACCATATTGTGCTGCCTCTTCTTAAGAGAAACCAACAAAGTCAGACTTCATGGAGACTTAAAGTTTTGTTGGTATGGATCCCACCATACTCAAGTTAAGACCTCTTGAAATCCGTGTTGAAGTCCACATAGCTGGTACAAAAATTTGCCAGCCCTAAAAATTTCTCTTAGTGTACAGAGGGGGAAGCAGCTATACAGCAATTGGGACAATCCCATCAGAAAACCCTAAACATTGTAAATAATGTATGTACATAGACATTGAAATGAGAGAGACAAGACTTTTGAGAGGGTATTTATTCTAAGTGGCATTTCTGTGCTACTGCCCTAAAGCAGAATGCCCAGCAAGAGTTACACCTTCTTCAGCCTTGTGGTGCTTCTGATCCTTGCACACGGAGATAGATTTTTTTGGCTGTTGGAGCACTTTTCCTGCAAGAGTAATAAGACATGACCATCAGCCAGGACTGAAGTTATCCAGGGAGCATCTAACTTCAAATTCTTTACCTGCTCTGAGCTGGCTCCAATAAAATGACCATATATATTCCCTTAGGTTTGCTCTGGCTCCTCAGCAGACACTGGTGCTTCATGCACCACGTGTGAAGCTGCTACCAAGGCTGCCCTTTTTCTCTTCAATTGTTAAGGCATTTTTTTAAACACAAATACCATTTATAATGGTGTTGCTGCACTTTTGAGAGACTAATGAAGCTATTCAAGGCCAGTAAAGGCCTATGCTACTTATTCTCAAGATTTTACATGGGGTAAAAGGAGTCTGGAATCTGTCCAGTGAGAGTCTGGAAATTACCCAGCAACTTCTTGGAAAAAAACCAAGGCAGCCAAGTAACCCCTGAGATTCCCTCCAGACAGAGATTTTGCCCAATTTCAAGTGAAAACTGCTACAAGTTCATCATCATGACTCACCTGTGAAAGTTTTCAACATCCTCCACAGTCTCAGGCAAAACTCTTCCTTTAGTTTCAGGCAGAAGCAGCACCAATCCACCCGCAATCAGACCAAGCACAGCTTCAAAACAGAGGCACAAAGAGCTTGTCAGCCACTTGCTACTGCCAGACTGAATGGATTTGTCAATGGCATTTTATTTTGTCCCTTGTACAAGGTGTGCACCTCAAGTCTCATATGCAAAACTGTCATGCTGGTGCAAAAATGGAAGATGTGGCTGCCCCGTGGAGACAGCACCAACCCAAGTCCTCTTGTGAGTGAACTAGGACACCTCAAACTGGACAGATCCTTCCTTCATAGAGGAAAGAACTCTTTTTAGTGCTAGAGCATGACAGCAAACACAGTCCATCTTTATGCTTTTCACATAAGATTAGAAAATGTACACACAATGTATTATCTTCTAAGCAACACAATCAAATTCTCCCCTGCTAATTTCTTTTATCCAGTTTGTACGTGTTTGGCATATATTTTAAATCTACTTCTAGATCTCCTGTCTGTCAAAATTTGCATATTGCCATTCAAGGTATTACTCTATAAATAACGTGCTGATCTAAAGATTCATAAAAGTGTTGCAGGCCCTAACCTGAGAGTTCAGGTCACTAATCTGTAAAACTTATCTTGCATTTATTTACCAGCCACTTTCCAAATAGCTGGAGAAGAGCCAGTTAACAAAGTGTCAGAAAAGCTGAAGCGTAACAGCCATACTTGTACTCTATTCCACGGGCAATTACATGAAATTCTAGGGTTTGACTGCTCGACAAAGACAGTATAACTCACAAAAGAGCAGTAAGTCAGCTTTAAATCCATCAAATATTAGGCTCATCAAAATTTTTGAGTTCTTTGCCTTCTGTCAAATGCGTATCTGACTCAAACTTCCTTTAAAATGCAAGGAGAAATTATAGGGGCAAGGGAGAGACGAGTGCATAAACAAGTTCCAGCTTGTCACAAACTGAAGGCTAAGGCCTTGTAGAGAGCAGGGGGCTTCTGCTGAACTTAAAGCAGCTGCATTGGTGGCTTTTCCCTCCCTTTGGAACTTGGGTCCCCCACTGCACCCTGGAGGAGCCGGCAAGGAGGTAAGGTGGCACTTACTGAAGACAACCAGTGGCAGATCATGCCAGATCTCCACCAGTCTGTAGACAATGAATGGGGCGATGACTCCACCAATATCACACAAAGAAGAACAAACCATCACCCCGAGATTCCTGGTTTGGCAGCAAAGGGATCAAGTTAGTGCCAGAGTACTGCAGTTGGAAGGGGATGGATCACAACTCTCACCCTCACACAGGACAGATCCAGGCACTGTGTGGAACTTCAGATCCCTCACCCACCCTGGTTCTCCCAGATTTTCCCTTTATTTCAGTCATGTGAGATTCCCCTTGTCTAAAAGTACATTTCTTTTCTTTATTAAGCTACCTTTTTAAAGCATTTTAATTGTGCTTCACCTATTTTATGTTCAATAGTACCTGTGTAGTTCTGACACATATGAGGATAATTTAGCATAAAACATAACATACACATCAGCCTTAACTATTTTTTTCCATGCCTAATGCCAACTGGAGAGAGGATGCACCTACCTGATATAAGTTGGATACAGTTCTGTATTTACAAAGCAAACCATTTCAAAAGCCATTGTAATTCCCATTCTCCCAATGCAAGCAGTAATCACTTTCAACCAATGCATGTCTGCAGAGAAAACACATTCAACACATTTAAAAGCATCGCAGTGATTTAGCAGGTGTCAGTTGATACAACAGTGTTATTCTGTAGGACCTCTGATATGTCAGGTGGTGTTTTTATGGGATGTTTGTTTTTCTTTTCTTTCACCCGAGGGAGTGAGGGAATGGGAGCAGTGAGGACCACATGAGCAGGGGCAAAGGGACCCTCACAAAGCAGCATGGAGGTCCCAGAGGACAGGGTGGGAAGTCCCCACGGGGCTCCATTCAGCTGACTTACCCTCTGGGAGGAGGGCTGTGGCAAGGCAGGCGGCCCCAGCCACCAGGTTTGACACGGCCCAGGGGTAGCGCCGCCCGACACGGTCGATAGTGACGATGATGAGGAAGGCAGCTGGGAACTCAACGAGTGCAGAGTAGAGGAAATCCAGATACATATTCTCAGCAGCCATTCCCATGTGCATGATGAGCCCCTGGTAGAGGACGGCGCTCGTGAACCTGGGCAGAGAAGAGCATCCTGGATTCGTTAGGTAGTAAAAGAACAGACATCCCTGTCCTGATGGAGTTGTCAAATCCAGAGCTCCAAAATTGGCTGTCTCGTGTTATATTCTTACCAGTTGTACATCAAAATGAGCGTGTTTTTTCTTATTTGTGGTGTCCTGAAAAGGTCCATCAGCGAGGGTTTCTGCTTTCCACAATCTTCCTCTTCAAATTTAATATCCTATAGAAGAGCCAGCACACAGCACATTAAATTTCTCTGGGAGGAACTGATGCAAGGTAGTGTCATGATGCTTACTTACATGTACGAGCAAACCCTGAGCTCACCTTAAAATGGGAAGGCATCTTTTTCTGATTTTTTTTAGCGATATTGCTGACAATTTTCATAGCTTTGTCATTTTTTCCTTGAGATATCAGCCACCTGGGAGACTCTGGGAGGCACCTACAATGCGAGGGGATGCCATTATACAACAAAACATAAAGCCTACCTATTCTCCCATGAGTGGAGACTTTGGAGAGATTAAATAGAGGTAGATGGTTGGGGTTTTTTTGGGGGGGAGGTTTTGTGTGCTACTTCCCACTTCTACAGTCAAGAGAAGTAGTGTATCCCATGGCTGAGATTGGAAGAGGAACAGTTGAGGTAGTGGCTTTAGTCAAAGAGGAGTTTACTGAAGATAAATCAGGGAGGAGCTTTGAGTGAGAGTAGTGCTGTCATCTGATCCAGCCCATTCACCACAAACCAGCTCCTCTTAGGGAGCCATTTTTCACTTCTGCCAATACAGGTTAAGAAGTACTAATTAAGTTAGAACTGGCTTACCAATTCAAAAATATGGAAGAAGGAAGGCAACAAATTTCTTTCTACTATTCCTAACCTCTTGACCCACCCAGACAATTTCTCAAATCCAAAGCACTCAAACCAAAAAATATTGATTAAAAAGAGGAGAGAAACTAAAATGAAGGAGTATCCAAGAGCTTTTTTGTTCTTTTCAGTTGGACCACAAAAACTGCAACTTCTCTGCCTTAAAAGAACACACCAAGAGCCTCTTACAGTTATGTTAGCATTAGACAATCTGTCAATAACCAAATTTTCAGTGTAAGACCAACTAAGTTATGCAAAGGCACCTACTTTCGCTTATTAATTGCTTAAAGAAAATAGTAAATTATACTAATTGTACAATTGTAATATTAAATTGTACTAAGAAACAAGTAAAATTGTACTAATCCAATTTTCCCCCAGTGTTTTTCCAACTGGTCTGTTTTCTAAACACCAGGTGAGGTGCACAGGCTAGGATTCTACAAGATCTCAGTTGCTGAGGGATCCTATTTCCCTCTCTTTTTTGCTAGGAACCCCCTCTTTGCGCCAAGAGGCGTGCGCCCCAGAAAGGAGTGCCCATTCTCTCCCAGTGCCAAGCCTTGGGAAGCAGGAGAAGCCGGGTTTTTGGGGTGGCGGGCAGAGGCACAACAAAAGGCAGAGGCACAACAAAAAACTACCACTTACCAGTAGTAGAGCAGGAGGAAGCAGGTGGGCAGGGTGACAGTGAGCTGCAGCCACCGCCAGTGAGGGAGGGCGTAGGCGATGCCGTCGAAGACCAGGAGGCCGACGGAGAAAGCCGCCTGGTAGAGGATCCCCACCATCCGCCGGTACTGCGGGCCCACCACTTCCGTCACTGCGGGCGTGCACGGGGACAGTGAGCCATGTGGCTGCCCCTCGCAGCAGAAACCAGCTGGGGGGACGCTGGAGGACCAATGCTACGGTAACACTTTGGAGAAACCTTGGTAATCACGGGCTTCCCAGCAAAACACTTCTAAACAAAACCCCCTAGTTTGCTCTTCTGGCAGCCAGACTCCAGCAGAGAAAACACTGCTGCTGGCCGTGCATTGGCCTAAGACATCCAGGAATGTCCTCTGCTGCAGAAATCTCAGAGTAAATCAAGCATTTGTCAAAGTGCACAGATTAATTTTGTTGTGAAATCTAATGCTAATATACAAAATGTCTCAAATCCAACAACAAGTCTGAGTATTTTGTTTCCAAAGTACAGGCTTTTGGCCTGCATCTCACTCCAAGTAATAAGGAAAACCTGTATCACGGGATGGCATAGAGCTCCCAGGCCAGGGTGGGATCACTGTTCATCTGCACTTCGCAACTCCACACCACAGCATAGACCCACACATCTGTGGATCTCTGTATCTTGCTGATTCAGAGTTGAAAGTAACTATTCCAGCAGGCAGGGCAAGCACACTCAACATTTTGCATCCAGATGTGTGATTTCAAGAAAGCAAACTCATTAGAAAAAGAACAGAAAAGAACTAATTAGCAGCCAAATGAGTTGCTGACTTTTGAAACCACAGATATACTAATGCTGCTCAGCCTAAGGATGCACAAAGACATCTCAGGCTCAGCAGCACTGAGCCAGAAGCAGCTGAAGGGTGGACAAGTGCCCCAGCAGAGCAGGATAACAAGGTTGTTCTGTCCTTGTATCCTTCCCTGGACATTCAGTATTGGTCACCCTTAGGGAGAAGATACAAATTTAAGGGAGCTTTGGGGCTGGTTCAGGATCTTTTGCATAAGAAAATTTCAAGAGGTTCCAGGAGTAACAAGGTGTAACAGAGAGAAAACGTCAGGATAGGGCAAATCATTATCCTGAGAAGGACTTCATGCTCTAAAACAGCTTAAAGTTCTCCAGAAGAGAGGATGGAGATTTCATTTGTGCCAGGAAGAGATTTAGGAGGCCAAGCAAGCATCCAGAAATTAACAGGAAGGAATAATCATGTCTTAGCAGAAGACAGTCTAGACAGTGGGATAGGTGCTTTTATTTCTATCAGACATCTGGATAACTGAATTAGCAAGATGCCCACACTGAAAGATTTTATGCAAGTTTAGGGCACTGACTTTTACATTTTTACCACTATCACAATGAATTGCGTATCTCTCAGAGGTATTTGGTAGAGCCACCTGCCACCCTAACGCAGTTAATGTTCTGTAGGCCAGCTCTTAAAATAGTTAATCTGCTGCTTCAGTGATTGCTTGCAGTTGGGTATTTTGGACAAGAAGACTGAACTCCACTCCAGAAAAATCAGAGAAATCCCAGGCAGCTCTGCCCTGAAGTAGAAAGAGGTCCTGAGATAGTCCCAGACCCAGCCTGGCCACCCAGCTGTGCCTCACCAGCAAACACAGCTGGAGCAGGGCACTGGGAGAGAGAGGCACCCACACAGGCTGGCTCCTCCATGGCTTGGCCTCCACTCAGCCCAGTGGATACACACAGGTACACAAACACCTCATCTTTTTATCAGCAAGTACGTGCTGTTCTTCAGTTATTTTTGTGTTCTGAAGCCTCTGTTTCCCTCTTTGTGTCATAAAAATGTCTCAAGTTTTCCCCACCCTCTGTCTGCTTCTTTAATGGGCTCCTCTGTCCCCATCCTGTCTGCACCCGAGCCAGAGGGGCTGTGTCTGCCTGGTCACCTTCCCTAGCCAGAGCCTGATGGAAGGAAGAGGAGCCAGGGGCCCAGAGAGACCTGCAAAGGTGAGCTGTATTGTAGGGGAAAGCCTGTCTTCAGGTAAGAGCTCTAATACACCACCACTCACTTGAGCTTTGAAGGCTACTGTTGTTTCTCCCTAATGACAGTACTTGAAAACATCCTGGGAAGTCAAAGAGGGAGAAAACGCCTTAATAAAACACCATGGGAGGCATTCTTTAAATGGCCTGATTTTCAAGTTTTTTGGAGTTGAGTTTTGTTCCTTCATCATCTTGCTCCTGGGAGAAGGTCCTGAACTCACCCAGGATGTAGCCTGCAGTCCAGCAGCCCTTGCTGACCAGCCCTTGCAAGAACCGGATGATGACTATCCACAGGTAGCTGGGCACGAAGGCCAGAAGGAGTCCACACGCAATATTTGCAACAATTGTTGTTAAAAGGCAAAATTTACGGCCAAACCTGGATTGGAAAATGATAGGCATGAAGCAAATATGGAAGCATTTTAAACTAGTAAGAGCTTTGTGTATCTCCAAGGGGGAAAAAAAATCCAATTTTGCTGTGCAGTATAGAGACACGCTTTTTTCTTTGCCCATTATTCACTTATCTGCTTTTCTACGCCATGAAAAGCTACTGTGCCAGTTGCTCAGCAATTCCACAAAAACTTTCAGAGAAAAAAGAATGTTAACATATATTGCATTGGAACTGAAAAATAAGTGTGGGTTAATATTATTATTCTGGTAGTTCCACATGCACCAGATTTATAAGGGATTTATTCACCGCGACCTTAACCTTTAAAACAGTAGTAATGTATGGATCTATTTGTGAGTGGGCTGCATTTCTCAGCTGGAACAACTCAGAGCCTGCTGTACTAACATTCCTAGGTAGAAGGGGAGCATGGGGGAAAGTACTGGCATCTGTTTCTCTTGAACCCCAGGTGCCTGAGCCAGGGACTCTGCTGGCCCTGAACAGGGAGCTAGAGGGTTTATCTGCTTTCTCAGTGACTGCTGCTGTACCCATCTGGCAATCTCTGACAACTATTTCTAAGCTTCTCCAAAAGAAGCAAAATGTTTCCAAGCTGCAGCCATGCAGAGTGTGACAGATTAAGTGGGAGATCCAGACCACGCATTTCCTGGCTTTGGTTAACATCCGAGAGCTCTGATATGGCACAGTAGGAAGTTTGGGGTGTACAATTCTAAAATAGTCCTTGTGGGCTCTGCAGGGCTCGCTGAGCAGATGTGTGCTAACCACCAGGCACAACCTGAAAGGCAGGATACTGGCTCATGCTGCGACTGAAGGTCCAGGGGATGACCTTATTTTCAGAAGAGCAGAGATGGTCTCAGTTGCACAACCTTTATCTAAGTTTGGCTGCTGAACATTGATAAGGGAGGTCAGAGGGTTTTGCTTCAGCCCACACATACCTGTCTGCAATGTAGCCAATGTTTAAGGACCCAATAAAAAACCCAGCGTTCACAGAAGACTGAAAGAGATCCAACTTCCAGGAGTCCTCACACACCAGGTCAAACTAAAGGAGCAACCACAGTCAGAGACAAAAGAGTGAAATGAGGAGCTGGCTCACATCCACAACTCTCCTTCAGTTAAACATTTAAACTTTTTTCTGGGTCAATACCTGTTTTACCAGCACACAGAAATCCTACTAACTTAACTAATTGTCCAACATTAAAGAGTGGAAAAAGCCCTTCAGCAGTTTACTGGCATCTCCCATTTATGTCTCATCTCTCTTTTATGGAAAGAGTATAAGTGAGTTATTATCTGTCAAAACTGTGTTGGCCCTGTTGATCCTGTGTTGGCCCTCATTGATCAAATCAGCATGGATCTGACAACCACACTGAGTTTTTCAAACATCTCCCATTCATGTCTCACCTCTCTTTTATGGAAAGAGTATAAGTGAATTATTATCTGTCAAAACTGGCACCTGAACCTGTGTTGACCCTCATTGATCAAATCAGCATGGATCTGACAACCACACTGAGTTTTTCAAACAGCTTTTTTTTTGTGGCTAATGATGAACATTTCTAAGCAGTTCTTGCTGCCTCATACCCTGGCATGGCAGAGCAGTCCCCACAGACCACTCAGGACTAAGTGTGATGCCTTTACTAGAAGAATCCTAGATGCCTTCAGGAGCCTGCCTTGTTCCAAGTCCCATGGAGCACTGGCTTTTTGGAGGAGGGTGGAAGTATCTGCATCTGCCCTGAGGCCACAGAATTTTCTCTCTGCTCTGCTCTTTAGCTCAGCTACCTTGTTGTATGTGTCTGGAGAGCAGACATTTTTTATCCAGGGCCAAGCTTTATACCACATGGATACCCACATATATTTTCCATCCAGTCTTGTCCTACCTTACTGGTAGGAATATATAAAAGCTACTAGAGAAAAGGTTGTTGCCAAAACTTCTCCTAATATGACTGAGAATCCCTTCCCTTCCTCCGGGTCGCTGGGTTTAATTGAATCTATGCATCCATAATTAACACAAAACCAAACATTTCTTCTGATGCTCTTATGGGACTTCCCATGAGGACCTTCTTCCATATGCAAACTTTTCTTTTGAAATAACCTGATTTACACTGCACTATCCTTCCCTTTTCTTAGCTATCAGAGCAGGGGACAACATATCAGAGCCTGACAAGTTTCACAGAAACAGTCACAACCAAGAACTCATTGGCAAAATGCAGAGTGACACATCTGCTTACCACATGGAAGCAGCAGCCCGTGGGCCTGGCACCCCCTTCAGCAGGAGAGGGGAGACAGCTGATGTGAGAGCATGACTGCATGAGCCCACACAGATGCAAGTGCTCAGCTTCCCACAGCCTCAGGAGATGATGGTGAGGGCATCTGACCATGGATGTGCTGCAGCATTGTCCAGCGAGATGTGCCTGCTGAGCTGCTGCTGCATAGAAGGCCTGGCTCACCCTGCATTTGAGGTGCCTCACTTCCTCCCTTTCATATCTCACAGCCCATAACTTGCTGACAGAGGTACACTTAGAGTGCACCCCCTTATATCCAGGACGAATCTTAGAAAACTATGAATGCTGAAATTGCTAGAGCACAGATTTTAACTGCTCCTGTGTTAGACATAGAGGGAAAAGAATCCTGACCACCTCTAAACATGTGGTGGAACTTTCTATGATGACATCCAGCTTGTCAACCCAGTACTGGTTTATTCTTAAAGCACCTGAACTGCTAAAGTACAGCAAGTAGCTAAAATACTACTTTCAGTTTATTCACACTCCTTCTGAGAACACAGTTTCTTCCTGATTTAAGCTGTTTAATTGTAGGAGGCAATACCTTTCCCCACAATGACTGCAATTCATTTTTATTTATAACCAACTTTAAAAGACTTTATTCATTTTAAAAAAAATTAAAAAAGAAAGAAAAAAAAGAAAGAAAAAAAAGGGGGTGGGGGAAAGAAATCAAGACCATTGCATTGGCCCGTTTTGTTTGCAGCACTGCTAGCTGCACTGTTTACACACCTTTACCAATTGGACCTCCCACGTGACAGGAATTTCATTCAGAACTGGACTTTATCTATTTATTTGCTGAAATATGCTTTCCTCCCCAGCTGGAGATATAAGCCTCCCGAGCAGTCAAGGCAACGCTTCACAGCAAGGACAGAGGGAAGATGACTTGTAAACCCCCAAGCGCAAGTTCACAGTAAGAGACAATCCCTTCTCCAGGTAAGCAGGGGATATTATAACACAGCCTAGGCTCCAACAACCCCCTCCCCCACCCCTCCCCTTGTCTGTAACAGAGGGAACAGGGCAAAGGGGGCTGTTTTTACCTCTGTCACGATAGAGCTCCCTGGGGAGTCGTAGACCCAGCCATCCCGGCAGGGACCGAGGGGGACGGCGCTCCCACTGCCCCCCAGGCTGCCCAGGGGGTCAGTGCAGCTGATGCCTGTTGTGTTCCAGTCCACCTCGTACCTCCTGCAGCGGCTGCTGAAGCTGGCCCCGTGGCCATCCCACTCGGGAACTGTGAGATTCAGCTGCTCCTCCAGGCTCCAGCCACAGCGCTGGCTCAGCTCAGCCACCCCGGGGCTGGAGCAGCGATGCTCAGGGGTGAACCCGAAGAAGACGACCCCCACGTACACTGGGGTGAAGGAGGCAGATAACAAACATAGGACGAAAAAGGTTTGCTTCTGGAACCTGTCAAATTCTCCAACATGCTCTAAAATGTCATCTAGGGTTGGCATTTTGGCATCCAAACCACCTCAAAAACCCCAACCACGTCCTCTCTGCAGCCCTGATATATTTAGTTGGCAGCAAAGCTACTTAAGTAACAAAGATATTTGACCAAAAGTCAAGACTAACTCTATAAATTATTAAACTACATGTTGCAAGCTCTACTTTTTAGGTTTCATTTGAAATCAGACCTTAATTCACCCAAGGTGAATTTCCCTTTAACCCATAATCAGAGCACTTACATATTCCTGCTCTCTGGAAGAGCCCCTATGGGCCACAGCCCTTTGGTTTTTTTGGAGGGTTTTGGGGTTATTTTTTTAGTTAGGCACGTCAGCTCCTCAAATAATAGGCATTTTTAAGCAGCCAACATAGATGGAAAATTCTACCAACATACAAGCAACACATGGGTTTAGTGCAGAATGTCTGGGCACCACAGGTGAGCAAAGCTTCTTAGCCAGGATCTGTAAAAAATAGGTGGGTACACTCTGAAAAAGGAATGTCTATACATTGAGCCATATAGCAGTAAAGGGACAGCTTTCCTGAAAACTTCTGTCACATGTATCTCACCTCTCACCCTCCACATTCTTCCATTCCCAAGGAAAACCTCTTCCCACCTGTATCAGGGATTCACCTGAGCATATTTGCATATTTTTAGTGACCCAAAAAGAAAAAGCATTCATTACAGAATTATGCACTGGGAATAGCTGTGGGAAATAGCACTGGCAAAGCCACAATATACAGTATCCATGGCCAAAACAGCTTTTTTTTTTTCAACCACAGAAGACCTATAGGACTTTAGGCAGACTTCATTGCAGCCACCTCAAATAAATGCAGCCGTATTAGGCTCCAGCGGTACATTGTCCTGTCTATGGAAAGATACCAGATACTCCCATATCTTTTGCAGCCTTCCATCACAAAGAAAAGCTTAAGTGGAGATAACATTTAAAAGACATTTTAAAAAAGTGAAAAATTGCCTGGAAAGCAACAGGCAATAAGCTAAAAATTAAAGACACAATACACTCCAAGAAAAAAATAAACCAGCTTAAAAGGCCTTCTGGCCCAGGTTTGAAAGAGAACTTGGTCTCACTGCTCATTAACTACAGACCAAGAGTGGCCTGAGCAGCTGTGAAAGCTGCTTTGCAAACCAACACTTCAAGATCATTCCCCACATCACACAGATGTGCTTTCTCATCTCTTCCTTCACCCTCTTCTCCGTCAGGAACATCTACACCAAGTTAAGTAGGACTCCTCTCCTGGCCAACGCACAGCTGTGTCACCCTCAGCCAAGTACAGCACCACCACCCCGCACCAGACCTTTGCCTCCCTGGCTGCAGGAGTTCCATGTGGAGCTGGGGAGGGGAACAGGGACACGAACGTGCACAGCAGTCACCACGCTCAGAGCCAGCCCCTGCAACCTTCCTCAGCAGGGGGATGTGTGCAGTCAGCTGGAGAGAGGGAACTGAAGTCAAAGCCTGCCTGGGAAGTGGGTGAAGCTAAGGCACTAGGCTGCATCTTAAAAACACACCCAAAACCCCCTCACATCACTTCTTTTCCAACAGTTTTATTTAAACAGTTGGTATTGGGAGTGCAAAAGTTTCCCTTGAACTACAAAAGTTTGATCCAGACTGGGCCAGTTATCCTTATTTCCCACCATTCTCTCTGCAGTCAGCCCAGAAGGGGCTGTGTGGACTGTGCCAGGCAGGTGGGTTTCTTTGGGACACTTCTCAAGGAGTTGTGCTGCCAACTGGCAAAGCTTCTGCTCCTGGCCCAGCCATTTGTACAGACTTATCTGGGCCCTGCTATTCTCATAACCCTTCCCTCCATGGAGTCGAGTATTCTGGGGAAAATGGTCTGGTTATGCATCCAGCTCTCTAAGAGGTGAGATTCAGCCAGGCTACCTACAAAAGCCTGGGTAAATAGTTCCAAGACCAGGCACTGAAGTCACTCACTGCTGTCAGATGCAAAAGGAAAATGGTCTGGTGAAGCTGGTTATGCATCCAGCTCTCTAAGAGGTAAGATTCAGCCAGGCTACCTAAAGCCTGGGTAAAAAGTGGGCAATAGTTCCAAGACCAGGCACTGAAGTCACTCACTGCTGTCAGATGCAAATTATAACATTGTTTTTGCTCAGATAAGCACCCCCAGACAGAGTAGCTCTGTTCTAGCTAAGCCTTGCTAGGCACAGCCCAAACAAAGAGACCATGTGATTTTACACAGGAGAAATAATTTCATGCAGTTGGTTCATAGAGCAAACAACTCCAAAACGCCAGCCTTGACGACCTGGGCAAGGAAAGCAGAACCCTCTGACATGCATTTAGAGAACTGTTGTAATGATAAAAGACAGCAATAAAAATACACCATCAAACCTCCCACTTCTCCAAGCTCTCCTAATTATGAATATGAAAAAAGCTGATTTAAGTCTGAAAAGATGCAGCTTAAGCCAAACTGACTTACCAGCTCCACTGGTAACAATACAAAAGGAACATCCAAGCCTGATTAAAAAACAAATACAACACCAGGGCCTACCTATATATTCTGATCTTTGTTATCAAACACTGGTTCTCATTTTGAGTGACATGACTGAGGTATCCGTCACAGCAGGAAAGGGTCTCACCAGACTGGTGAGCAGCATACAGAATAGTGCAAGAAAGATTCCAGACTTGAGATGTGGGATTTGGAATACCCACTGCGTATCTTTTATTGAAATTGCTGAATACTTTATATTACACTATTTTGATTCAAAATGGAGTTTTTATAAAAAGAAACCATTGTTGAAACTGAATAAGCCAGCCAAAAGGAACAACAAAAAGTTTCAAAAAATTCTGACCAATGCATGTTCTTGTACAATGCTTTGAAACCCTAACATTGTCCATAATTTCATTTAGGAAACACCTGGAGAGGAGCAAGACTGCTAAAGAAAAACTGACTTGCATTTATTACCAGCAACATTTCAAATCAATGACCATGGCCAGGATCATAGCATACAGACTAGAAATTAGACTATCAGAAAATATTGTCCCAAATTTATTTTCTTGAAATTAATACCAGAGGGAGGCATTATGCAGACTAGAACTCTTCTAGTCCTTGGGGTTTTCTTGGTGATGACAAACTGGATAGGAACTCTGCCTCTACGTCCTTGAAAAGTCTGGTTCTCTGTGCAGTTGGCCTAGTCCAGCCATAATCAAAGAAAAAAAAAATCTTTGGGTGCTTGTCAGCTGCTTAGGCAAATACTGATGAAGTCAGTCATATGACCAGTACCAAAAAAAAAAAAAAAATCTTTGGGTGCTTGTCAGCTGCTTAGGCAAATACTGATGAAGTCATATGACCAGTACCAAAAAAAAAATACCATGCGAAGAACAGCAACCATTTCAGGCTAAAGCTATATCGAATTGTACCTTTCAGTCCATACCTTTGAACCAATGATCTGTTTAAATTAGAATGGATATTCAAATTTACAGGATAAATTAGACCAGTTCCAAAATTTACATCAAATCATCCCAACACACAAAAGTTATACTTTTCCTTGTCTCACAATGGGTGAGCCCATAGAAGAATACCCTGCCGGCAGGAAGAACATGTTACTATTAAGCAAACCTGAGTAGTGAGGATCAATAAATACAAGGAGTTAAAACGATAGTAGTCTGATAACTTGAGTCTCAGAAGCCAGGGGCTTCATTGAGCCTTAATCTTTTCCTTTCAAAGGTTTCTCTTTTTTAAGCAAGCATTTAACATCTATGCTGAGACTTAAAAAAAAGTGTCCTGGCTAGAGAGAGTCAACTAACTCAGCCAACTGGATGTCAGAAATCCAGTCATTACTGAACAGATCATTGTAAACAACTAAGAAATCTTTCTCTTCTTCCCTTTTCAATGGTTTCTTGTTAAAGGCAAAATTCAAAAAAATCTTTCAGGCTGAAGTCCTCATATTTGGTTGGAAATGTTGTCCTGTTATATATAATCTCTCTATATATATTTGATTAGGCACAAGAAGGGTTATTAAATATTCAACAAGTCCTCATCACTATCATCATGAAACGATGCTGTATTTGTAGAGTTCTGTGCCTGATGCTGGCCTGGCCTTGCTATTGCTTTTGTTTCCTTTCCTCCGTTCAGTAAATAAGATTTGTTATCACTGCCAAAACTGTGCAGCTTCTTTTGTGGGTGCTTGCTCCTGTCTAGTCCTCTTCCTGTTTGAATCTTTACATCTGGAATGGTTAACACTTCATCCTCACTGTCCAGGTCATCCACGTGGAGAGAGGTAAGGGCTTCAGATGTAACAGACTTGGTAGCAATGTGACCATTCTCCTGCCCTCCTTTTGCTGTTCTTGGATTTGGTGCTGCAACTTCCTCCATAAGCCACTCTGTTTCATTCTCATTAGCTTCTTCTTCACTGTTTATCTGCAAGAAAAGGAAAGAGGAGAATGCATCTGCCACTCCAGACCGACACACACGCTGATCTGCCCAGTCGTCAGACCCCGCAGCATGCACGGCCTCGGTCTAAGGTAGCTGGGAGAGAGCAAACACTGCAAGAGCATCACTTTTCACTGTGCTGAAACAGACTTTGTTCTCTTCTTGTACATTTACATGTTAATTGGTGATTTATGGACTGCTCTTCATTTCCTCAACTCTATCTTCCTTTCCCACTTCACAACATAAATATATATATATTTATATCAGTCATGTGGCTTTCCTGATGCCATGCCATATGTTTACATGCACTAAAGAAATTAGGAATTAAGAGAGTTATTTATTAACAAAAGCTTCATGTGAAACAAATTTGATTTTGTCATTGTGGTACCACTCTATCTTCCTTTCTCACTTCACAACATAAATATATATATATTTATATCAGTCATGTGGCTTTCCTGATGCCATGCCATATGTTTACATGCACTAAAGGAATTAGGAATTAAGAGAGTTATTTATTTATTAACAAAAGCTTCATGTGAAACAAATTTGATTTTGTCATTGTGGTACCTTTGTGTATTTGTAGGAAACACCAGATGATCTTCTGCAGCAGTTTGTTATCTTGTTTATTACAATTTCCCTAAACAAAGGAAAGAATACTACATTAGGAACACTATATCCACTTATTAGCCCTCACTTTTCTTAACTGGAATTTTACCATCAACATAAAGCATGTCAACAAACGAGCTACAAAATATCACATCGACCCTGAACCACTCTACCAAAATCCAGTGATTTTGGTTTTGATCCAGTGATTATCCCTTGATAATGTACAGCTTCAGGCTGACTGTTCTGAAACCAAGTCCTGAGAAAGAAACTTCTAAAGCCTATTAATTTCTTACCTCCTCTCTTCCCCCTTTGTACAGCTTCAAGGCTCACTGTTCTAAAACCAAGTCCTGAGAAAGAAACTTCTAAAGCCTATTAATTTCTTACCTCCTCTCTTTTTTGTAGAACAGCAAGATTATGAGACACGCAGTGAGAATAACCAGGAGGACACTAAGCACAGCACCAACAGCCTGGCTTCTCCTTGAAAGACCTTTATGTATTTGGGTCTCCTCATCTGACTGGTGCTGATTGTTTCCTGGATCATTGGTTGATCTAGCAACGTAAATGGAAAAGACAAAATCTATTGATAAGGTTTTTTAAACTGGACTAGAAACAGCAGATTGGAAGAAGACATGCCACAACCATCCTGTCATTCCCACCTAACAGCTGCATGAACTGAATGTAGGGGATTTCATCTAAGTAAAAAACAACTCGAAAAACACAAATGTATGTACTGTGCCTACATCCCAGTATGCTATCAAATAATACATGAAACTACAGTCAAGACTGCAGAGCACAATTAAGCACTCCAGAGCTTATACAGCAGCAGTTATAAAGCTGCTGTTTTAGAAGCAAATCTGCACATGAGCACACTGCAACAGCTACAGAAATTATCTACCTCTCATCTGACTGCGACACTACACACACCAAACTTCCTCAACAGATTTAAATCAGAATCAAGAGTTGGCCTGTGCTTTCAAGCTAGCAGCCAGAAAGTAAACACTCCCAGAAGTAGTCACTCCATTTCACAGTGAGGCTGCCTACCTGTCAAGAACATTGTAAGCACCTAGATGCAGACACTCCCCTTTTAACACTGTCCCCTCACTAATCAGTTAATTAGCTGATCATATTTAATTGGAGAAATGCTTCATTGTTCCTTGAAGACCTGTAATGATTTTCCATTCCAGGCTAAAGTGGGCAGATAGAGGGGAAGGCCAGTCTTTGTCACAGCTTCAAAGTCTTCCAGACAGTAAGACAAGGGGGACAAAACACCTCATCCATAAACTGTTTGCTCCTCTCAGTAACAGGAAACATCATGTTCTGTCAGCTACAGTAGCTTTTACTTAGTGAAAATAATTATATCAATTCCACTGTGTCTCTTCAGCTTCAAGTCCAGATCAGTTTGGCAAGTTTTAATTTAGTAGTCATGTGCCAAACATTGCATACATGATCATCAATCTACCTATAAGCCTATTCCTTTTTTAGCTTTTCCCCTTTTCCCAATCACTGTGACAAATAACTACAAAAAAAGCCTTTTGCTGAGAAGTGCTGACAAAAGCTGCTTTCAGGAAACAGTTATCTACTCACATTAAAGGACACACAGCAGATGTGTACCAGGTAAATAAATACTGGCAATCTGCTGTCTCATGAAGGAATTCAGGGGTGCCTTCCTTCTCTTCTGGATTGCAGTGGAAGAAAATGGTTGAAGACACAAACTTTGATTTATCTTTACCACATCTGGAGTCAGATGAAAATATGACATCCAAATCATCATCTACAATGAGAAGAAAAAATAGTTTACTTCCTTGAGAACAGTCTGTAAACA